TTTTGACCGGAGATAACTAACAAATTGTGAAACATCGGAAATGTTTGCATTCTGGGGCAACACGATTGGAAAAAGATTAAGTCGAAAAAGCTTTTTGCAGTGATTGGCATGAATCGGTGCTGTTAACTGGTAGCACAAAAGACTCGGCAATAGTAGAAATGAGGGTCTCGATTCTTCCCAGATATGTATGGTAGCTATTTGTTTAGGCCGATCACTTAATCTTGATTTTGTAAAATCAGATAATCAGCAAACTTTATTCGTCCAATATCAGCAAAAATTGCAGCCGCATCTTTTTGTCTGAAAAAAATTGGCACAAAGAATCTTTTCAGGCAATGTGGCTGATGACCGTGTTCCTGGGCAATGTAATCGATATGCTTATTTCTGGATCACATATTGTCGCTGAACCGGCCACTGAATTCTTTGTCTACGCATTTATGATGATTGTTGTGATTGGAATCTTCATAATGCTGGCCGTACGGTATACGTATGCAGAAGACAGGAACATGCAAATGAAGTTCACGGAGAAGCAATCCCAGAGCATCGGCTTAGAACATGGCAATAGCAGCACAGCAAACAGTTATGACTAGGTGAAGCACACTCGAACTATAAAGTTTTAATTAGAGCTCAGATCAATTGGATGCATTCTGCGAATAGCAACAGCACTTGCTGGCAGAGCTGTCGATGGTTTTTTCTTTCCCAGATTGCTTGAAAAGAACAAATTGAAAAGAGCTCCGCTTCTTGCAGATACAGCTCCTTCTACAAATGAATATGGACCGGGAAGAAATCGAACTACTCGTCTTCAGATTCGAACGCGGTCTGTTAAACCGCTGCACCACTGGCTCTTGCGCTTCTCACATTCACTCGAGCAGTTTTGATACGTACACCATCTGCATACTTCCGCAAGTAACGCACTGTCTAGAACTACATCTGGGTGTTTCACAAGACTTCTGTGGCATCATTTCGCGGCGAATTAGTTCAGACAGCGCCACCTTAATATAAGTGCATCATAGAGGGACTACTTTCCTCAGTGACTCGATTAAACAGGTGGTAAAAACTCAAGCACCACTAACACTATTAATGAGCTTAGCAGGCAGCGCGCATCCATCCCTTACAAGAAGTGATCTCCTGAGGGACTCCCCTCGACCAACTGCTTGTAAAAAGCATTTGTACTGCATGGTGAAAGTGACAAAAAGTCAAGGAGCGATAGATAAATTGTAATAAAAAACTAACCGCCTGCGATAATAAATTCCGACGGTAAATTCGCCAAGCAGTTTGTTGGTTAGTCCATGTGCTTCTGCATGGTTTTTGATTCTTCAGTATGGTAAAATTATTTTTTTTTTTGTAACTGATTTTTGTGATTCAAACAGATCTCAGTGTTCCCTAAACTTTGTGTATTTCATTTCGTGAGCTTATTCATACTTTTATATGTGTGTATATACTGTATGACTAACTTTAATCCATACCAGTGAAAGATGTTAATGCTCTAAAAGCATTCATCAGCATGATATCATTCCACCGTCCAGGTTGTGCTGCAAGACTCTGACCTTTATAAGACCCAGTGTAGCAGGCTTTCCTCTCCCAGATTATTTCATAAATCATGCACGAAGAACTCATGTTACTGTCGAGTTGGTCCACTGATATATCTCCGGTAAGGCGTTGAAACCTGTGGAATTCAGACTGGGAGAAGATAGTTTATATTTTGCGAAATGACATGTTAAGGTGGAAGGCACAGAAATTACAAGTAATTTAAGATATGGAGGAACAGTTTATGATGTTTCATTGTCTTGATGTAGAAATAAATCTCTGGATGCAGGTAGAGTCGGAAAAAAATTTATGCAAAAGACGCTTGAGACTAGAAAGATGAGAAGCTAAGGCAAATGGCGTTAGTCAAGTATCTGTTTTGGGGAGTCTCAGATATAACACGCCTTCGTTAAAAAAGTAATATTTATTCTTAATTTTTCCATTCATCGTGTTGTATGTGTGTGTTGCATTGCTAGTGAATATTTGGATTTTTTTTTTCGCCCTTGTTTTTACTGTACATTGGCTCTTTTAATGTGCATAAACTGTCTGGTGTCTTTCCCGCGTGCTCACACTGTCCAAGAAAGTGCTTCGTCAGATCACAGCTTGTGAGAAAAGCCCTATTATTTTTCATGGCCAAGTGGCAGAAAGAAAACAGGCCTGTCCAGCTTTTTGGTTTCTTTTCACTGATGCAACCAGTAACTGGTAGTTTTTCCACTTAACTGTATTACAATTGGCTCGCCAAACCAACATAATTTTCCAGGTGTATTTTACTGGATCTATCTTAGCAGTGGCCTTCCCTGCATTCGCCGAGGAATAGTAAAAATGGGCAAGCCCCATTTATTTGGATACGAGGAAATTGGAATTTACCCTTTTTTGCTGAAAACCCGGTTGATTCGTGGAATTCAAAAAACATCTGTCACAAAAGCATCCTCTGTTTTCCTCACCTGCTCATTAATACTGGTGACCGCTGATGATCCAGGTCCTTAAGTGGGATCGCATTCCTGAAAATAAATTCCTGATGTCTCATCCTTTAATATATTCCTGAACCACTGGATTCTCTTGAGGTTCTACTTGGATTTCGCCCAAATTACTTTTTCTTAACGTACTTGTTGCATCATTCCTCGCACCTGTAGTAGGGTAAAAGAATTTTGAACTAAAAAACACGGATACTGTTTCCACATATGCGCCATTACCAATTTACCATCGGAACGAATGAGCGACTCTTAGTGGTATTCGTTGTCCAATGGCGCAAATTCCCCATCCTCACAATGAAAGCAGCACTATGTGGCACTGTGTTATGTCCACGAGCAGTAAGGCTTGTGCAAATTAAAATGTGTTAAGCAGATTGCAGCATCCAGGTTGACCCTGCAAGTGCAGATGGCAAGGTGTGAAGGAGTTCAGGAGAAAGTAGTAGTGTAGATTACAGAAGGTGAGAGTGAGATAAGACGTTTCGGTCCATTAAGTCATATACGTCTTAACTGTAAACTTGGTCATTGCTTCGGCTACTCGAGCATCACCATCTAATGTAACAGTGTACGCTGGCACTAGATACTTCAATAAAATGAAATACTAAACGCCGGAGCGTTTCCAACGACGCTTCTCGGTTTCCAAGCACTTGTCCCCTTGGCTCTCATGCATTGATATTTTGCCAGTCAGTGCCACCCAAGAATCAGCGCAGGGTGCGTGCACACCCACTGCAACATCATGCTAGCTATTTATATATTGCGCTTGTTTGGCTTATCTGCTGGAAATGGACGGTTTCACTGTGCCAGGTGAACAGTAAATCCCCTTACGATTCGCATTCATTCATTCGTTTCGTTGGCAAACTGCTGCTGATGCTTGTCCCGGAATCGAAACCACCGTCAACTTGCTTCCAAACAGTTTTCCAGTAAAAAACCATCGATTTCCTTGTTAAAGGATTTTGTTACAGGCACGATTCTCTTGCTTGGTTTGCTTCGGTGCGCTTAAGCCTTTTTAGAAGAGCAATTTAGAGGAGAGTTTTTTGTCTTAAGCATTTTTGGCGCAGAATTTTGCAGAAATCAGAATACTCCTTGGCACCTATAATTATAAACTTTTTAGGTTTATGCGTCGCAGCATTTCTGCTGTTGAGTAATATAATTAGAAAACTTATCTTCAGCCCATTATTGATCAGATGGTCATAAACTCACACATATTGCTGAAGGGGAAGCACTCACATTTTAACAGTTTGCAAAATAAGAAAACACATTCTGCTTTCAAGCAATTGAAGCGTGGCATTTTGGCCGAACTTGTGTTTTTGTTTGTGCAGATGATTCAGCTCTGTAATCCAGGAGTAGCTGCAGAATGGAAGCCAGCTTTTTTTTCACCGACAAGGATTCCTGGCACTCACCTAACATATTAAACAGACGTTCAGCTGTCACTTCAAGCTTATGATTAACAGGGTGGTTTGTGCATCTTAAGCCTCTTGATGCATAAGTGGGTGGGTGGGCTGCAAACACTCATAATTGGCTATGTGACAATCACTTCGGCATGCAACCCAGGCACCAGCTGTGTGCACACAGATGATACACACATGGTTGAACAAATTGGTGCCCATCGAAT